TTAAAGGAGGGGATAAAGTCGGGATTGCTGACAGGAATGTAGAGAACACAGCCCTTGGCGCAGTCTTTGTTGCGGCACGAGCGGAATAAGTAGTGAGGAATGGCGGACATGGCGAGCGAATGTGAGCAAGAAACGAGAGGGGAAATGCTATCATAAAGCACGATGCTGGAGGTTATATGGTCTGTGGAACACGTCAGCCAGAATATCAGATCTGAACCGGTATCTGGGATGCATGATGCGATACTGAAGCTGCTAGGTCTTGTCTCCGCGTGAGCACACCACCATCACAAGGCTGCTGGATATACATATTTAGCCCCATCTTGCGGTTTGTCCAAGGGAAAACCTACTGCTAAGCTGAGTGTTTCAGAGTCTCCAGATAGCCCGCTATACAAGTACTACATGCTGGCCGACACTCTGCAGTGACTAAACCATTTGCTGGTGTTGATAGCTACTTGAGATGGAACTTTGAAGAAGCAGAGAGCTGGTCCACTCTGTGGGAGGGGACCACTGGGACCTCCGTGGCATTGATCATCTGAATTGCCAACCGGTGGGTTTTCCCTGTCCTGGCTGATGACCATGAGACCCCATGGCGTACTCGTGCGGCAGGGTCCTGTCTGGGAACAAGGCCGGGTATCGGGGACCTTGGACCTGGACCACCATCATCTACTATGATGAGTGGCTCAGCGGCTCTCCCTTTCAAGCAGGGACCAAGGCGCGATGCTCAACAGCATCGTAAGAAGTCGTGTTCACTCCTGCTAGGCGGGGAGGGACGAAGGGGCTCGATCAGAGCCCCTACGAGCTCGTGGATACCACGGAATGTTGCTCGAGGCTGATCAGGCCAATATTAAGGGCGCTCCCCATGACCCCTTCCACCGTAACACGGTGCTTACACTACACGATAATTGTATATCAGATAGACCTCCATATCAAATGTAATTACAGTGAAATGAGCCCTAGGTCGCCATGCCCTGACACCCGGCAGCGGTCGACGACGGGGAGGGCATCCCCGCCGCTGCCAGGGAAGACAAGAGGCACCACACGTGGAGAACACGCCACAGCGCCACCCAGCACGAACAAAACGCTTGAGAAACAAAGCACTCAACAGCTTTGTGCGTACACCGCGCGCTCTATAAAGCTTTGACAACCTGATAAAGCCCCCCTGCTGGACTAAAAAACCCCCGCACCCCGTCATGGACGCACCCACAACCCCATTCACCTTCGAACTCCCCGTCGATACTAGAAGCACGAACGACGCGCCGAACAAACGCCCACGCACCGTAGGGACCTCAGACCTTCGTGGACATCTGTTTGAAGAAGAACGCACAGCGCAGCGTAAGCAGCCGAACAGTCAGCCACCCCCCCCGCCACCCACGACCACTGTCCCACGCACTGAGCTCCCGATACCGAGGAAGGCCCCCAAGGACATGTCGCTCGCCTCCGCTCTATACGATCCCGGTAATTTTGCCGGCCTCCCTACGGCGACAGAGGAAAACCCCCACCGTTGGTCAACGCGTCGCGGGGAGGCACCACTCCTGCCGATTAACATCGACGCGCTCGGAATCCCAGACGAAACCTTCCCCCACGCGCACGTCCCGGAATTCCGAATTTTCGGTAATGTTGACGAGGCTCAGATCAAACGTCTCCGCGCCATCACCAACCCGCTGGTTGCGATCGTGATACACGGTGGCGGTCAAGACCTCAACAAGTCGGGCGCCGCCTTGCAAGAGGCCATGACCATCCTTCTCTCCAAAATCGCCTTCCCGCCCTCCCAAGCTGAGACGCAGCGGATGGCGGTCGACGGATCGCTGTCGGGAACCGAGACTACCGCCGACGACCCCACTAGCACCAGTGGCGCGGACGGGTCAGGCGACCCGACGGGCCCGGACGACCTCGTGTCCAACGGCCTACCAACGACTAAGAAACCGTCGCCTGGCGTGCGCATCCACCTCCCGATAGTGCGCGTCCCAAAGAAGAACAACGCTTTTGGGCAACCTTGGACGTGGTTCGCTGACCTGGGTCCGAACTCGGAACACCTGCGAAAGTGGCTCCTATATCAGGAGGTTTTCCCGATCTCCCCCTCACTCTCCTTCTCCGTCCACCCCATAACTGGGGTAACAGTGCAACCGTGGACCATTATGGTGCTCACGGGGAGAGACAGGTACGCGGTAGAGGATACGCGCGAAGCGTGCCAGGAGGTCGCAAAGGAGATCAAGTCCTTTCTCTGGGCGGACCGCGACTTCACCGTGCGAACCGCGCGCTACGTCGAGCAAAATTGGGGACTCCGGGGCGCTCCTGCCACCCTCGTCAAGTACATGACCGACACGATTGAGGTCGTGTATACCATCGCGGAGCTGAAGACGTCTCGAAAGGAGGTCCCCGCGTACTCGGTCTACGCCAAACCGATCTCGAACGACCCGGAGGCGTATCTCAAGTGGGCGGCGAAGTTTCAGGAAGGAGTGTACTGGCGAGGACCGTGCCTTCTGGAAGTTAACAAAGCGGCCGTCGAATGCAAACTCTGCAAGGATACATCCCATTCCACACGCGCATGCCCGCTGGACGTAGCTGGATGGAAGGGTACTGTAGTACAGGATATACTTACGACGCAAGAGATAGAGGCGCGTACGGCGGGTACGGACACCGCAGAGAGGCCGCAAGATGGCCACGACTGGCAACAAGCACGGGCCAGGCGAGCCGAACAAGGTGCGCGCCCCCAGAAGCCCGGGAGGCAGCAGCAGAGGAACCGGCGCACAATGGACAACAAAGGGAAGGGGAAGGATGTACGCCGCTGAGTCATGCCGCCCAGACGAAGGGTTGGGACCATCCCCAGCTACTGATCGAGAACGATGGCAGTTCGGGATGCAATGCGATCCACCTTCTCGATCATAGACAGAGTGTACTCGAGCGTGGAGCAATCGAAGTCGTGGAATAGAGACCTGCGTTTCCTGTCGCAAACTCTAGGATAGCGTCAGAAATGTGTGATATAGGGATCCAGGGCGCTGATCGCGTCGCCCTGCCGCAATCCAATCATTGATCGCACAGAACGTGAGCGTGCTGACTTAACTTACTGACGGGCTTGCCCGGACAGGACGTCGGCCACCACAAGCAAGTTTCGGAACGGACACGTTTCTGTACGGAACAACCCATCATATCTCTCAAACGGGCTAGTCGAGAGTCCTAGCAGCAGACAGTACCCGGGAGAGAAGATACCAAATACACACTAACTTTGATCTTACAGGTCTGGCAAATCTGAAAGGGAGTTTATTACGACGCTACGAACAACTTACATGAATACAACAGGCAGCTACAGCAGCAACACGACGGCAACTTGATGGCAACGGCTCTCGCGCCGGCTCTCTCTGGAGGGAGAACTGGTGCAACCGCTGGCCAGCCTCCCGAGGATGGGGAGAACCGAGTGGACAGTGGACAGAGCGGAGAGCGTGGCAACGGGGAGATGGCAATAGCCATTGATGAACCGGACACCACCCCGCGACCGGACTCGATCAGAGACGGGAATGACGCCAGGACAAATGGCGGTGCTGCAATGCAGCCCGAAGCCTCGATCAGAGGTGGATATGCGGAGGGGATTACCCAACAAACCGCGGACGCTATCAGCGATCCAATATGCGCTCCCAGCGAGGAATCTGGAGCGATGCCTAGAGGCAATAGAAAAGAAAGGCGGAAAGCCGATCAACTCGCTCGAAAAATGACAATACGGGCCGCTACGTTAAACGTAAATGGATTTGGGACGCTGCAACAGGACCATCCCAAAAACAAATGGGGGCGAATTGCCCAACTTATGAACGATAAACGCATCGGCATACTGATGATACAGGAATCTCACCTATCGTCTGAAAGACTGGAGTCTGTTCAACGACTCTATGAGAAGAGCCTTAAGATCTTTAGCTCAGCGCACCCAAGCGCGCCAGGCCAAAAAGAAGGAGTCGCAATCCTGATCAACAAACGAATGGTCAGTAGTGAAGGAGCGACGGCGACAGCGATAGTAGAAGGGAGGGCGCTCCACGTTACCCTCAAATGCGCTGGGGACGACAGATTACACGTCCTATGCATCTACGCCCCGACGTCGGATGGTGTCGAAGAGCGCTGCCGTTTCTTCAATGAAGTAAGGTCATTCTACGAACGACATCGTGAGTTCCCGAAACCGGACATCATGGCGGGGGACTTCAACAATGTCGAAGACGCCATTGATAGACTTCCTATAAATGAGTCGCCCGACAGATCAGTAGAGGATTTGGATAAACTAAAACTGTCCCTGCAACTTATGTTAACGGACGGATGGAGAGAAACCCACCCTACGGATCGCGGTTATACGTTTCACCGCGGACGGGACAACAACGCCACCCTCTCCAGGCTTGACAGGATGTATACCCGCGAAGCAGTCTTTAGGCTTGCAAGAGACTGGATAATAATGGAATCAGGCATCAAAACGGATCACCGTATGATGACTGTGCAACTCACGACGGCAACTGCTCCGAGTGTAGGACATGGCCGCCCTATCTTCCCACTGTCAATAATTAAGGACAGGAAGCTCGCAAAGGCAATGAAAGACAGAGGGATGGTGACGATGTCTCATCTTGATAAGATCGAGAGAGGGATTGCACCGAGGTCTGAGTGCAATAACCCGCAACGCTTATTAGCGGACATGAAAAATGACTGGATGAAGATGGCCAGAGACAGGGAAAAAGAAGTAGTGCCCAAGCTCCTGGCAGAAATCAAACAGCGTGAAGAAGAGCTAGAACGGTTGGCAAAGACCCATGACATGAACGAAGCCACCCGGGCTGCAGAAATGGCGGCAGTGTCAAAACAGATAAGTGATCTAGCGATCAGGAGACGACGACTCCAACAACAAACTGCCAGGGCGAAGTTCCGTAAGGAGGGAAACCGCCCCACCAAATATTGGTGTAAGCTGAACAGAGACCACGCACCACGGAGTGTTATCCAATCCTTCGAAAAAGAAGGGGAACTGACCCCTGAGGGCGAAAAAATATATGAATCTGATCCGAAACTGATGGCGGCCATGGCACGCATGCACCATGACAACATCCAAAAAGATGATCAATCAGTTAAATCAGTACCTGAGAGAGAACAAGACATACGAAGAGTGCTAGAGTCCCTCGAAAAGAGAGTGACCGCAGAGGAAGCCGAGGATATTGGTGCCGAAATACAGTACGGAGAATGTGTGTCAGCATTGAGAACAGCCGAAAACGGCACGGCCCCCGGCCTGGATGGCCTGCAACACGAAGTGTGGAAGACAATGCTGGAGCGACATATTGAAGACGTCAGAGCTGAACGACCAAGCTTTGACGTAATAAAGCTCATCCGAGCCGCTTTCGAAGATATTCAAACTCACGGCGTGTGCAAAGGGACCAACTTTGCGCAAGGGTGGATGTCTCCGCTATACAAGAAGGGCGAGAGGGCCAAAGTGGTCAACTATCGCCCGATAACATTGCTGAATACAGATTATAAACTGCTCACCAAGATACTAGCGATGAGACTGTCAGTCGTCGCCCCGAACCTAGTCCATCCGGCGCAAGCAGGGTTCGTGCCCGGACGGCAAATACACAATCACACGCAGCTTGCGAGAATGATGATTGCATGGGCAGAGCAAAACTCAAAGAACGGCGCCATCGTGGCCCTCGATCAAGAGAAGGCCTATGATAAGATCGCACATGACTACCTGTGGAGGGTGCTCGGTCGCTTTGGGATACCCCTGAGCTTCATAAAAACAGTACGCGACCTATATGCGGACGCAGAGACGTCAGTCATGATAAATGGAACACTCAGCAACCCATACAAAGTATACCGTGGGGTACGACAAGGGGACCCACTATCCTGCCTGTTGTTTGATTTCGCCATCGAACCACTGTCCGTGATGATTCAAAAATCGCAACTCCAAGGCTTCGAAGTAGAAGGCCTCAAGGAGCCAGTCAAAGCGACGCTATTCGCGGATGATACAACGACTTACCTATCAGAAAACGATGACTTTAGCGTTCTCCAAGAAATTCTTGATACATGGTGTTCCGCGGCGAAGGCCAAGTTCAATATCGCCAAAACTGAAATAATTCCGATCGGTGAGAAATCGTACAGAGAGAAAATGGCGAAGGAATATAAGGACACAGGGCGATGGAAATCCTACCCGCAGAATGCGCATATGGCCGGAGAGGGTGATGCTATCAGAATACTGGGAGGCTTCTTCGGAAACGGAATAGACCAACTTGCAGTGTGGTCCCCTAGGATAGCAAAGGTGGCAGCCGCAATCGAGCGATGGAAAAAGGGCCACGCCACGCTGGACGGAAAACGGCATGTCATCCAAATGGTCATCGCGGGAATGACACAGTACTTAACGGATGTCCAAAGAATGCCGGAAGCGGTCACTAGACGCCTTGAAAAAATTATTCGCGAATACCTGTGGGAGGGGAAGGCGACCCCCCCAATCGCAAAAGAATACACTCACCTCCCGCTAGAGGCTGGTGGTCTAAACATCATAGATATAAGTGCTAGGAACGAAGCCATAGATGTGATGTGGTTGAAGACATACCTAGACTTCACGGTAGACCGACCGCAGTGGGCGTACATAGCCGACGACATCCTCGCAACGAATGTCCCGAAAAACTGTCACCCTGAAGAGAAGTCGATGAGAGTTAACACCTTCCTGCAATCTTGGTCCCCACGACAGAAGGCAGCTAGAGATATCCCAATGGAGCTCAAAGCAATAATCGCTGTGGCCAAAAAACATAATCTTGTCGTAAACGCACTAGCCCCGTCTAGAGGAATTATGAAATCGATGCCAATGTGGGGCCATACAAAGGCAGATAAACGAGGCTTACGCAAAGCGAGCAAGAACGACTCTCTGACGGTGCGGTGCTTGAAGACAAAGCATAGACTGGTGTCTGTTGGAGACTTCGTGGATTTTGCGGGTCTAGAAGACAAACCAGAACATGTATCAATGAGCGATGAATGTGAATGCATCATATGCAATGAGATCGAGACGAATTTTGGATGCCTACACCCGATATCATGCATGAGACGAGCAGGTACAGTACTGGATACCCTACCACCGAGATGGGACCCCAGAGGGGTACTCCCAGAGGACTACGAGAACAACGCACCAGAGGATGAACCCATGGACGAAGATGCGATTGAGATAGACCGGAGAATCACGACACATGGGTCGCTGAGCAACGTCTTCCGAATCTTCGCTGACGACGACGAGTTCTGCGGGGAACGGCTAAACTCCAATATCGAGGAGTCGGACTGGCCGGTAACGATTACCACGAGTGCGATAGGCCAGAAAGACAGTAACTCCCCACAAGTGATAGGAGCTGGGGTGTACGTCAGTGAGGGGAATAGTCTGAACAGCTCAATACGTCTCCCAATGGAAAGAAAACCAACAGTGCAGTCGGGTGAACTGTCAGCGACCCTGATAGCCACGGCGACGGCAAACACAAAAGCACGTCTTATGACGGTCACAACATCAAAGCGTGTGATGGCAAGCCTGACGAAAAACAGGGTGAAACAAGAAGAGGAGGGTTACCTGAGACAACCCGATGCGTCTCTGATAAGAGCCATAATCGCCAATGTCAGAGCACGAAGAGCTAGAACGAGCCTGAAATTAGTGCAGAGACGAGGCGATCACACAGATCTCAACAGCGCGAAGGAACTAGCCTTAGAAGGTGCCAAGAAATTGGGGCCAGACGAGATCCCTACAACAGTGGACCTGAAGTGGAGAATATCAGGAGCGAGTCTCAGCGCAATGACACAAAAACTGGCCTACCAGGAAATTCGCGACCGCAAGCTGAAATCAGTCAAGCCGAGATCGTCAACGACGACGAACCTTGAAATCGTGTCCGAAGGTGTGAAAGACGCCTTCGGCGTCGATGTCACTGAGGCTGAAATATGGAAATCAATACGGTCAAAACACGTATCCAGCACCTGTGCTCAGTTCCTATGGAAAACGATGCATAACCTCCACATGGTAGGTAACCGGTGGCTGAGAGAGGGTATGCCTGAAGAATACCAGGACAGGGCGATCTGTGCGATATGCGACAACGTTGAATCAATGGACCACATTCTGTTTCGGTGCGAAGCGCCAGGACAAGCTGAAATATGGAACGAGCTGAAAGTGATATGGGAAACAACAGGCTTACCGTGGAAGCAACCAGACTGGGGCACTGCATTGGGAGCGGGGTGCGCTGTTATCAAAAGCGAAACCGGTGTCAGGAAGAAGCCAATGGAGGCTCTATGGACAATCCTGTGGACCGAATCAGTTCATCTCATTTGGAAGTTGAGGTGTGAACGAGTAATACACAGGGACGGGGAAGTCCACGATAAACTCGCGGTGAAAAACGCGTGGTATGCAGCGATCGACAGAAGACTGACGTTAAATCGGAGGACGGCGGTGCTCGCTAAATGTAAGCATGACCTGAAGCAAGGCGACGTCGAAGCCATATGGGCTCCAACTATACAAGGCTATAGGGATCTTCCCGAAGGATGGGTCGGCAATGGCGGGGTTTTAGTGGGTATTAAGAGAGGACAGGGATAAGGTTAGGTTTCGGCCGACACCTTAAATGAACTGAACTCTCTTCGAGTCCCACACTCTGTGCGTAAAAGCATTTCCCCGTCTGGTTTACTGGTGACTTTTGGATAACACTTCAATGACTTATGGCTTGGCCGGGGTACCTTTACCTGACCATGTCACCAAACGCTTTCTGGCTGCCCTAAGGGCGGTAATCGTAATCTACTAGACATGCCCTAGAATACTATGTTTTAGGGACCACGGTAGATTAGATGTACAGAAATCAAAGCGTTCCCACTCAACTTTGAAGAAGCACGCCATCATGGCACACTGCGCCCATCAGATCTTGCGGAGATAAATGAGCTAATTACTTTCATCAGAAGGGTGTATGGTACACCTAGCTGCGCGCACAACAACATGGTTTCTCCGATCCTGTGGGTTGGAGCCTAGAGCGCTTTAGCATGCGCGGCATGGGCAGCTCTCCGCACATTATCCACTTCGTAGCTTATCCATCTCCGCCTCAAATTAGACCTAATACAATGTTAATGATGGCAAAGCATTGAAACAAACCAGTTTGAACTCCGTCACTCCTAGCTAGCATGCTCTACTGACTGAGCTTTCGTGGCATCTGCGCGGGCGCTCATGGCCCTGCCTAGTGTGCGCCAATCCACCTTGAAAGACATTGAGCCGTGGGGCTTCGTTCTATGTTGCTGGGTTTTGGTACAAGATGTAGAACTAGTTTGACATCGACAGGTCTATAAATTGGCCATGATAGATCAACTAACGGGAAGTCACATCACCCAACCATAGAGCAGGACTATTCGAAGGCTCAGCGCTCAGCTACGAGGTTGCGCGGACCATCGTCCGCTTTTAGCTCTCCCAGCAGCACCAGATCCATGTGAATCATCAATTCTAGCAGGGTCCACACCTGGCGCCCTGAAAATCAAGGTTGACGCCACTGTTCAGCACGTTGCTCACAGACCCCAGACCAGGCAGGGTCACGCACCAGGTCCACTATCAGGAGGCCATATTTCAGGAGTCCCCTGCGCAGGGAGGGTTGCCCACTTCCGCCAATGTTCTCTGGGATTGCGGCAAA